ACGGGCATCACCTCCCAAGACCTTGAGCATGGCCGTACCAGAATTGGGGGCTTTCCCATGTCGTTGAGACAGGGCCGTAATGAGCCAATTGGAGAATATCACAAGTGATAGATAAGGCAAAGGCTTCGTTCTGCTGGCGAATAGACGTGGTGTTGGATAAGGCTAGTGGCTCCTTCAGCACGTCCTGGCTCAACCCCTCACGTTTTCTTTCGTGTTTGACAAATGGAAACGTTCGATTGCCAGTGACGCTCCACATTCCGTGCTGCTGTGCATGTTGAACCCCGTCTCTCTTTTACCGGCCAGTCGTGGACTAGTTGGTCGATCCTTGCCTGCCTGTGGTGTGATGGGACATGCCAAGGCGGCCATGTGGGAGACATGGAGCCGGGCTTGAATCGGTCCGTCTCTCTATGACTTGGCAGAGCACTAGTCTGGGGTAGTCCAGTACTCTATTCGGACTCCTCAGCCAGGTCCCTAGTATGTTGATTATAGGAATTTTACTGTGTAGGATCACCCACAACTTGGGACAGCAGCGATTGCCATTCCCTGGCACTTGCGTTCGTACCTTGTCATCGACACGAGCTGCAAGGATTCGCGAATCGTGGCCTGAACCTGGTGGAGCCTGTTGCGATGCGGCAAACGGCCTACGGGGGCCTTGAGGAGAACGTTCATCCCACTCATTTAGGCGAAGTTCTTCTGGACGAGATTGGAGCTACCCCTCTTTGAGTACATCCTCAGGAGACACCATGGATGCGCTAAAGGTCCCAGCTTGTTTCCACTGGGAGTCCCGCGGGACGGGTGATTATTCCCATTAGCCTTTGCTTTCCTCTACGTATTTCTGTCTTCAACAGAGGCCTGTCAAGCGTGCTCTCCGTTCATTTTCATCCTTCAATTCTGATTTTGTGCATCTCCAAATGGGCTTTCCAAGCTCCCTCAATCTAGGGGCGTTGCCCACAAACGTGGGCCTCGCTATCCTTGGAACGATTTTTGCAGCATTGCTCTCGAGAATCTTTTACTGCCAGTATCTGCATCCTCTTTCCAAGTTTCCGGGACCATGGTGGTTGACTTCGTTCTCCCTGACCGGCGCTCTTATCTCTGTCATGCGGAAGGAGCCCGAATTCTTCATGTACTTGGTAAAAAAATATGGCAGTGAGTTTCCCCGATCGTGATCCTTTTCTGAAAGCCTTCTTTCCCAATTGAATCCATCATTTTCAGCGCACATTCTACCCTTCCAGTCATTTTATGCGGTGTAGTAATCGTACGGGGGAGCATGAGCGCTAACACAGCCCAGCTGACCGTCCAATCCGCATCTCACCTACAATGCTCCTATTCCCTCGCCCTTCAGCCCTGAAAGACATATACTGGGACCCGAAGTGCAACACCAAGAGCGGACTGTACGGTACCGGTGCCTTGGGGCCCCCACATCTGTTCTCTACGCTTGATGGCGAGGAGCATAAGCAGCTTCGCAAGGCATTGGCGAATGCTCCATGGACAATCGGTCAATTGAAGAACACATGGGAGAAGCGATTCGATGACCAGGTCAATCTTTTCGTGCAGAAGATGAGGGAACATGCGACTGCGAATAGAGTCGTCTGCCTGTCTGACAAGGTAGCTGAGTTTGCGGCTGATATCATGAGCATGATCTCTTTCACGAATGCGTTCGGGTGCGTCAAGAATCAGCGGGATGAGAAGCAAATCCTCACCAACTGGCGCAAGGGGCTCGACTTTTTCGGTTTCGTGGGCCGCTTTCGCTTCTTCAGGGAACGGATCTTGAAGCTCCCTGTTGTGGGCATGTGGTTCCTTCCCTCCATGTCGAATGAATCCGGTATGGGTTGGTTGATGTGCGAAGCAGATCGTCAGGTCTCAACGCGCGAGAAGGAGAACGAGGAGAAGCCGTTTGACGGAAAGCCAGACTTCATGCAGTAGTAAGTCCTCGTTCAGCCTTTCTGATGTCAGCGATTGCTAACTGGTGAAAGCTGCCTCGATGCTCGCTTCTCCGACGGTTCAACCCTGAATGCAGTCCAAAAGCGTGCCCATGTCACTCTCCTTATCCAGGCCGGCGCTGACACCACTGGCACCGCTCTTGGCTCTATCCTGCGCTTCCTCGTAACCAACAAGTCTGCCTACGCACGCGCCCAGGCCGAAATCGATGCGGCAGCCAAAGCCGGTCTCCTGTCTGACCCCATTCAGTACGAAGAAACACGCCAACACCTACCATACTTTGTTGGTTGCATTAAAGAAGGCCTGCGTCTAAATCCGCCTGCGACCAATCTCTTCGCAAGGATTGCACCTAAGGGCGGCAAGGTCATTGATGGCGTGTATGTGCCTGAGGGTACGGAGATTACGAGCCATGCGTACACGACGCAACGCATTAAGGAAATTTATGGGGAGGATGCTGAGTCTTTCCGTCCTGAGCGGTGGCTTGAAAGTGAAAAGAAGAGTCTCGAGTTTGAGGCTGCGCAGTTTACTTTTGGAGTCGGGCCAAGGGTTTGCTTGGGCAAGGACATTGCTACTATGGAGCTGTACAAGTTGTTGCCTGAGGTGAGTTCTCGCAAAGTAACCCCTTTCAGCTGATATGGTTGAAGCTAACGCCTGATAGATCTTTCGACGCTTCGATATTGAGCTTGTGGAGCCAGGTGAGTATGTGGTCGCTGGTGGAGTTGCATATAATCACGGCTTTTTGGGTCGCTTCATTGAGAGAGACAGCGCGAATGGGCAGGTCAATGGCAACGCTTAACGCGGATACGTGTGCAAGGGGTTTGCAAGTATAGTATGAACTGGTATCAGGTGGTACCAGGGACCATGGCTGCTCAAGTCGATAAATATGCTCATCAGAGGTCATTACTCGAGCACGATGATGCAGAATGAGAATCACCTGGATAATCGGACTTATTGCCAAATAGCTGCTCATTCCCCAGTAATCATTACCTGTCTTGTGCGTTTCCACAGCTATATTGATTTATGACTTTTGCTTCAAAGACCCAATTTCCAGCACTCGCCAATGCCCACACATGTAGGTTCATGCTCTCATCTTACAAATGAGACATCGAATTGTTGATATTCCATTCATCATGCATGTCACCAACTTTTCTCGCTAAAGTATTGAAGACTTGCCAAGGGCAAGTCTGTGTCCCGTTGTTCTAGTATCACTGCGTTACATCGTAGCCGCTTCCGCGAGCGAAGAACTCTAGCGAAGAAGTTGATCCCGAGGGAGCGGGTGCGCTATTGCATTCGCCGTTTCATGACATTGCCGGTACGGGCCTCGGCCGGCCCGCCGGACTAAGTGCCGTGTTTGAACGGCATTAACGAGGCTTAGGGGAAGCGAGCTTGGCGCTTAAGGAAGGATTTGCGGTCTGCGACTCGCGATAAGCTCAGTGTCAGCACAGTATCTTACGATCAGCGTTATCTATATCTGTTTACGTAAGACGTAACTGTTGCTTCTTTTGCAAAACGGACGCCTGATGTTCACCTGTCAACAACGACGGTCGAAGTCCATCACGATCTTCCCTAGCGCAGTGAAAGTGTCACGTTTATTGCACGTGCAGTGTCACTGTCAGGCATCCAGGTGGGTACGTGGACAAATGCCTCACCATGCATGGTTCGCTATTATGACATTCTGTATGCATTAATTGCCTTTGTACAAATCATATGAATACTTACACAGTAGTCTATCATGTCTCGCGTGCAAACATGCAGTAACGTGGGCCGTGGCGATCTTCACAGTAAAATGAAAAAAAGACAGCATTCGTCTCAAAATAGCAGCAAGTCTGGGAAGAATAAGTCATGTGAATCACATACTAAACGAGGCGGTTTTGTGTTGATTGGACGGGCGGCTGTCCCGACCTTGAAACCCCACACGTTTGCTAGGGGTCGTGGCGGATGTGGGATTCCTGCCGATCTTACACAGTTATTGGGAAATGTTGCCGTGTAGAGAGGGATTGAAGGATCCCCGGAGAGATGAGAACAGGAGATTAATACTAATGGATATCACGCTGTTGGTCCCCGTTGTGGGGGTCGGGCGATTGCGAATGTGTTGCTGGACTCATGCTCTGATTCAGCCAATCCCAAGTTGCTATCTACCTACCATCATATGGTACCGTAGCATGCAGCAAGGCTTCCCCGCCCGAAACGTTTTTTTTTTCGCCAAAATTAGCTTTGGCAGGAAGCGAAGTACAGTCCTCTTTAGTACATGGTGAGCAGGGTCTAAGTAACAGCCGGTCAGCCTCGCAGGATGAAAAAGCAAATCTGCTATCAAAAGGTCTCAAATATCCTGTGCGTGAGAGATCGTAGGTATGAAGATGAGGATACGGGTGAATGGGTAGTATAACTACCATGACAGTATGGCGGCTTCAACACCGAAACAGTCTTTCTCCACTCCCGCAACGGTACGTTTCTCCTTGTCAGTACTTCCGCAAGCATGCCTGAAGATCTGCAGGAGGAGTACCCGTGCATATCCCGACGTCAACAGGGGAGGGCTCCAAGACTGTGGCCATGAGGCTGGGAACTGATTATTAGTTGTTGAGGGTGCAGGTATAGAAGCAAAAACACAATCTTCAAAGTGTTCGCAGTGCGAGGGTTATCTGATTGACGATTCAGACCCAGGAAGGTATTGCTGGATGATACATATCTACCTTCATCTAAGTGCTGGAACTCCTCTCTACTGGCCGGCCCTCTCCTTTGCTTCACGAACAGCTGCGTCTGGAAGTCCTTTTCGTCTTTTGCGCACACGGAAGCTCACTGAAGCCTAACGTTTCTTCTATCATCAGTTGCCACCATGGACATCCCAACAGAGCGCCCTGCAAACGCTGACGAGACTCTGAAGACATCTGAGATAGCCGTTCTGGTGGCTTCCTCCATTCTGGTCTTTTTCACCACTATCCTACGTTACTTGGGTCGATGGGTCCTGCAACAGCGGTTGGAGGCAGGTAAAGGCCGAAAGGGAGAGAGGATCTGGGGCATGGATGATTGTGAGTCGATGATCTTGCAGGCCTTCAAATGGTCGCCTCTTCATCGGTGTCTAATGCTATACAGTCTTCAACATACTGGCCGTGTTGACCTTCTATTCACTCATCGTGGCAGTTGCTATTGCGATTGAGCGAGGGATGGGTACTCACCTTTCTCTGATTCTGTACGAACGTGGCGTTCAGGGATTCATCAAATATAATCAGGTGAGTGGCCTCCTAGACTTCTCGCATGATCTCCAACTCCCGCAATGTACTCCCTTTGATCGTTTCCAAATACTGACACAGGCAAGTCCATCTACGTTTCCGCTGTCTTCTATAACACCGTTCTCGGCATGGTGAAGCTCAGTGTTCTATGCCTATATCTGCGAATCATACGCGGTGTACAAAAGCAATCAGTCCGTATTATGGTCTGGACAGCCTGCGCTATAGTTGCTGCCAACACAATAGCCAACGTTAGCGTTGCAATCTTCCAATGTTCGCCGATTAAAGCCGCCTGGGACGTGACGATACCTGTCGACAAAAAAAAGTGCGTCCACTTCATAAACCAAGTTGCGCAATGCTGACCATGTTAGATGTGTCAATATCAACGCCTTCTATCTTGGCAACGCAATCACAGGCGTGATTACAGATGCAATGGTTTATTTGCTCTCGATTCCCATCATCAAGCCGTTACAAATGGACAACAAGACAAAGTTGCAGCTCATGGGTACGATGCTTGTCGGTGGCTTGTAAGATCCCACCCCTGAGATTGTGAGAACTTCTGAACACTGGAAGCTCACGCTCTTCTCCCTGGGTTGATGCTATTTGACTAATCAGTTACACAGCGCTGTCGTTACTTCTGCCGTTCGCTTGGGTTTCATCCCCGCCCTACTAACCGACCCGGACGCGTCCATGGCCATGGGTGTCCCAATGAATTGGAGCATCGCCGAACCCGCAGTTGGTATTCTTGTATCCAGCGGCCCAGCTATCCGCGCGGTTCGCTTCCTCTTCCGCAAACCAGGCCAGGACAGTTACGGCTCAGGCGCAGGCCAATCCACCCTCCGAAGCCAGAACGGTCACATCAAGCTCTACGATATCAAGGGCGATGCGAAAGATGAGGAGAGCCAGAGGTCAAGGGATCCAGACAACGACAGTGAGGAACATCTCGTTGTCAACGATGCCGGATTAGCGAGCCAGGGCGAAATTTCCAGAACTACTAAACTAGAGGTCTCGTACTCCATGAAGTAGACATTTGTGGCAATCAAGGGATGCTACATAGCATGTAGGACAGCTCTCATACTAGCCTTAGGTTGTTAAGGGTATTAGGAGTAGGAGTAATTATATACAACTGACTGTACCTAAGCTTGCCTAGTAGGATAGCGACTACTCATATTAAGCCCTTCATCTAAGATTGGCCCATGTAACTTAGATATTCTAATCAAAGCGTACTACCTACAGACAATAATAAAGATATCTCCAATACAACTAGCCATTACCTATCTTATCTATCAGATTCTGTAAGATGTTATATCGAGTAGTTGTTATAGACTGGCCTCAAGGGAGATTGCAATGAGCGTTGATAGTAGTATTCAGTATCTTGGAGGAGAACTTACCTCTCCTCCTCTTTCCTATGTGCGTGAAGCGTGTTCGCTTGCGATACATATCAGCCTTCCAGCGTTTGGTCAGATCCAGGCTTAGGATATCGTAGTACAATTAATATAATAGCAATAAAGACTGGATAGAAATGTAGTGTTTGCGTGGTCGTCAATACTAAAGAATATTTTCTAGATTCTGCGCAGTAGATAAAACTGACTTTTAATGCAGACGCGCTCTACACACTTAAAGAGACTTAGGGATAGAAAAAAGGTGTTTGAAAGCCAAAAAAATCATCTGCCCTCTGCCAGAATCGAACTAGCGATCTCATCATTTGGATAGAAACTGCCAGGTGGCATTTTCATACTAGTGATGCGCTTTACCACTAAGCCAAGAGGGCGGCTTGAAGAGCTTCAAGTTGGCTGTACCCGGGAATTGTATGGAAGGAGACCGAATTTTTAAAAATATATCGAGAGTAATTTTGGGTCTCGCCTAAAACATGCGTTGTCCACGTTGTGCGCTGGCAGTCGCTTAGCTTCAGACAGGGGTGGATTGATCTCATGGGATTGATGGCTAGTGTGGAAAGCGAACAGAGTAACAGAGACACATGACATGGCTACTCTACATGTGAGCAGCTTATTATGGGGCTAGATTAACCCGTGTTTGCTATTAACTTGCAATACGTTTACCTCATACTACAGTGCACGCCTTGAAGACACGGGGCCAGGGCGTCAGCCTCTTGTCTTCACAAGCTCATAGGTGTCAGTGCGAGCACCTCCCATTATCTATCTCCCTCCCTTGGTGCCATACGCATGTGTGCTCGTTCTCCGGCGCGAGCGAACCCACTTCAATCTTTTGTGTAGCAAGACCGCGGCAAGATCCCGTGCGTGTCGCACGCGCGCAAATGGAGGTGGAGACTGGGGAAGGGAGCTTGCAAAGTCTGGGGACAGCTCCCGTGCTAGTCTCTTCACATGTCCGCAATTAACTTAGACTGCCAAGGCGCCAAATGGGAGCGCCGGAATTTGAGCCTCCCACACGCTGCTGACGGGCCCTTCCTTCACCACGTCTCTTCAGACACGACAGCGCCAACTCCTCCACGACACACCACGCTTTTTCCACAACTTGCTACAGCCGGGCCGAAGACCTGGCCATTTTTCAGAACCACCTACTATCTCTACAGGACCATTCATGGGCTCAGCTCCTCTCACCACGACCGCTCTTTCCGTGCCTACCCAGTTCCCCGTGGTTGGTTCCTCGTACCCCTATAACGCACTGCAGTCAGGACTCAACAAGACGGACGCATCTTTTGCATCGCTGGTTCGACAAGTAGGGGAGGCTGGTCCGCCGTGAAAGGCGGACGGTAATATTCACCTACCAGACACTGGTATTGGATGTGCGTCAGCTCGACAAGACTACAGCGACATGCGCCCAGGACTAACACTTTGCGCATAGAGACTACTCACAACTTGGAACCCTGAAGCAGACGTTCTGCACTATATTTAGCACACCCATCTGTTCACATGGCTGTCTTCACCTTCGACGACAATGATGCCCAACTGCCGTTAAAAGCACAGTCGACTGTCGCGTCTGCAACGGCTGTTCGCGGTGAGCCGGCGGCTGACATGGCGACCGAAAAGTTGGCCACCAGTCCGCCCAAGGCAAGCCTCCATGTAGGTACACCGCCCATCAACATTGCTTCTCCCCTTCCCCGGCGCACCATGCAGCCCAACCTGGAGGCCGACCACGAAGGCCAGGACAAGCTAGACTTTGACATGGTCATGAAGAAGGCGCGCAAGAACAAGAAGAAGAAGAAGGGTCTGAGGCCTGGCGCACCGGCCACCAACGTCACACGCGGCTTCCACACACCCGTCACCTCCGGAGGGGAAGAGTCGGACTTTTCAGTAGTTGCAACTCCGCGCTTTGGTCCTGTACGCTCGGGCCTACCCAGCGTCACGAGCAGTCCTGCTCTTCGACCAGCCTCGGGAGCTGGGGGCATCAGCAACCTCAAGGCCCAGCTTGAGGCGCTGAACCTTGGGCCACGGACCGACTCACCGATGAAGGGCGTTCCCATGTCCAGAGTAACTTCGCAACTGTCCAGCAACACGAGCATGTCTGGACTGGAGAGTGATAGTGACCGGACGGAGATGGAGAGCTACGAAGTCGACCTCCTCGCCGAAGACTTCAGTATTGATGCGCTATCCAAGACTTCGACCATGCTCACCAGCGGCGGTGCGGCGCGCAAGATGACGGCCGAAGATTTTGAACCCTTGATGTGCCTTGGAAAGGGCAGTTATGGCACTGTTCTGCTTGTGAGGCAGCGTGCGACTGGCCGCTTGTTCGCCCAGAAGCAGATCAAAAAAGCCTCCATCACTGTGCATAAGAAACTCATTGAGCAAACCAAGACTGAGCGCAACATCTTAGAGAGCGTGAACCGTCATCCGTTCATTGTTAGCTTTTACTACGCCTTCCAGGACCACGAGAAGCTCTATCTCATTCTCGAATATGCCCAAGGTGGAGAGCTATTCCACCATCTTGCTGCCGAGCGCATGTTCTCCGAGGACGTGGCCGCCTTCTACATGGCAGAAATGGTGCTCGCACTCGACCATCTTCATCGTACTGTCGGTGTCATCTACCGCGATCTGAAGCCAGAGAACTGTCTCCTTGACTCGGAGGGCCACCTTCTCCTCACCGACTTTGGCCTGAGCAAAGTGTCGCTCGATGAAGACAATCCATGCCGTTCCTTCCTCGGTACGGTGGAATACATGGCCCCCGAAGTGGTCCAAGGTCTCGACTACGGTGCAGCGGTAGACTGGTGGTCCCTCGGCGCCCTGGGCGTCGACCTCCTCACCGGCGCACCCCCCTTCATGGGCAACAACAACGCCAAGATTCAGGAAAAGATTGTAAAATCCAAACTCTCCCTTCCGTACTACCTCAGCGCCGACGCAAAGGACCTCCTTACCCGCCTGCTGCGCAAAGAGCCCAAGAAGCGCCTCGGCTCCAACATGCCCAAGGATCTCCAGACCATTAAAAACCACCGCTTCTTCCGCAAGATCAACTGGAAGGCGCTCGAGGCCAGGGAGCTCGTGCCCCCGATTCAGCCCCTCATCACGGATCCAGAGTTGGCCGAGAACTTTGCCCAGGATTTTACAGACTTGCCGCTGAGTCCAGTGTTGGGCAGGAAGTTTGACGACGTGTGGTCGGATGGGCAGAGTAATCCGTTTGGCGGCTTTAGCTTTGTGGCTAGTCAGAGCTTGTTGGATGGGGGGGAGTGGGGGTTCTGAAGAGGGCTTTGATTGTTAGTGGGGCTGTGTGTGTCTGTATGCCGGTTTTGATTATTCTTGTTCATGTTTTTGAGTGGGTGCTTCTGGTGTGCATTTGCATTTGTTTTGTATTTATTGTTCGTGTTTGAATTCTACGGGTCGTGTCATGGCTGATCAATAGTCGATGTGTTTTTCCTTCACTGTCCCTAGTCCACTCAGATGTTATTTGCGACAAACTTTGAAGAAGAAATTTCAGACAGCACTTGCATTAGACTTTGAGAATGAAATTTCAGATGGCACTTGCAATCTTTAAGGATGCAAAGTAAGATTGCATCAAAAACATACATTCAAGATTCCATTTTCGCTCCATTTCGTTTCAATTTCATCTTGCCCACGCCTCCGCCAACAGCTGCCGCACCGACCGTGCTCACTAATTATGCAAACAGTAAACCAAGTATGTGGGAATCATAGTCGTCATCATCATCCGTATCATCATCCGTGAACGAAATCAGCAGCTATCATATCGCCAGCCATGCCCGTGCAGACCTTGGTAAACCTAGGTCGAGGGAGCAGCAGCCTTCTCCGTGGTGCTACCTGAGCCTGGAACAACATTTGCGTTGTCCCCCTCAGCCGTAGACTTGCCGCTCTGTTGAGCCTTCTTCTGGTCTGCGAGGTGGCGTGCCTCTTGGTGAACGTCCATGACGGTCTTGTTGCCCTGTTCGTAGAAGGCGCGGAGTTTCTGCCCAGTTGGGGTGTTGGCAGCCTTGTCGAAGTAGGTGCTCAAGCTGTTGAACGCAGCCAGGGCCTTGTTGGTGACACCGAGCTTCTGGTCGACGGCCTGTGCCTTTTGGGTCGCCTGGGTCTTTTGGTCGAAGTTGTTGAGGGCATTCATGAACTTTGCGCTGTAGCCATTCTGCTTGTCTACTGCGAGGGCAGACTCGATGGCCTTGTCGGAGATGACATAGCCATGGGCAAGGTACTCGGCGAAAATGCGGGCACGTGGCTTCTGTTCCTGCTCGATGTGGTGGTCACCGTCCTTGGCCTCCTCCGCAGATCCAGCCTTCTCGCCAGCGAGTTCGTCAATGGACTTCGCGGAGGTGACATGAACCGAGTTTGGGCCTAGCTGTGTGTTGTCAAGGAGAAGGGCAGTCTTTGCAGCGGCGGCCTTCTCGAAGGTAACGGAAGCTGACTGCGTGTCATCGCCAGTAGGCTTCACGCTGAGCGACTGGATCTTTCCGCAGAAGCTGAAGAAGGATCTGATCTCATCCTCGCTGGTCTTGATGCTGATGTTCTCGACGTTGACGGTGGCAGCCATCTTGATGGGTATTGCGGGGATACTGTGATGAGTGTAGTGGGGCGGGGGCGGGGGTGAGTTTGAGAGTGTTTGTGGATGAGTGGTGATTGAAGTAGACAAGAGACAGCTAGAATGTGTAGTGGGTGTGAGTGGGTATGTGGCCAAAGGGGAGCAGGAACAGGAACAGGCGTGCTATTTGTAGCAATGACGTCTTTGGTAGAGGATGAGAGAGAGAGAGAGAGAGAGAGAGAGAGAGGGTGCAGGTGCAACAGCCTCACTGGAATGAGGGGCGAAGTCGAATCGGGGGAATGACGTCGGCGGGGCTGTGCTGTCGTGTCGTGGCGTGTGCCGGTACAGTATAGTAGTTGCTTGCGAAGCTTCACGAAGCTGTCGTATGCGAGCAATTGTTATTTTTTGGGCTGCACTGGCATGGGACAAGCCACCAGGACGCGTGTTCTAGATCATCCTTTGCGTACCGGTATTACTCTAGATCAACCATGCTTGCAACCCCGTCCTTGTGTTTCTGTGGCTGACGATCACATCAACGACATGGGCATGGCAGAATGTGCTCTGTTGGACCCTGAGCGCGCCGCCTCGGTTACCGTACCGGTAGTTACATGAATCCAACGTCATAGCTTCCGATGGTGCCAGCAACTCACGGAGCAAACTCAGCTTGTTCGCAATACGTGTAGCGAGGCCCTTTGATAGCGCATATTGTACCATACCGGTAGTCGTGTGTATCCATGACCACAATGGCATTCAGGCTCATCCCATTGACATCAAGTGCTACGCGTCAAGGCCTCGGTAGGCTCGCCAACCGCACACCCCTCCCATCCCTCATCCCTCAGCGCCGACACATTTCCGCATACGGCTATGAGCAAGCCAAAGCCCTCACCTTCTCAGACTATGGCGACCCCGCAGCCGTACTCTCCCTTCACAGCCACTCCATTTCACCCCCACACAGCAATCTGATGACACTGCGCTTCCTCGCCAGCCCCATCAACCCCGCCGACATCAACCAGATCCAGGGTGTCTACCCTTCGAAGCCTAACTTCACTACGAGTCTGGGCACCGCCAATCCCATCGCCGTCGCTGGAAATGAGGGAGTCGCCGAGGTCATAGCATTGGGTGAGGGTGTAAAGAAGGCAGGCTTCAGCAAAGGCGACTGGGTCTTCATGAAGGGCCCTGGGTTTGGCACGTGGAGGACACATGCCAGTGCTACCATCGACGATGTTGTCAAGCTCGACGCGCAGATGAGGGAAGGCATTACGGCGATCCAAGCAGGCACCGTCAGCATCAATCCATGCACAGCATACCGCATGCTGCGCGACTTTACCACTTTGAACGAGGGCGAATGGTTCATACAAAACGGTGCCAACTCGGGCGTCGGACGTGCAGCTATTCAATTGGGCAGAAAGTGGGGATACAAGAGCATCAACATCATCCGAGGGCGGGACGATACTGCCGCAGAAGATAAACTGAAGACAGAACTGAAGGAGCTCGGCGCAGATGTAGTCATCACCGACACGGAGCTGCAAAGTCAGGGCATCAAGGACGCAGCGAAGGAGTGGACAAATGGGGGCCGCGAGCCAATCCGCCTCGCACTCAACTGTGTCAACGGCAAAGCTGCAACCGCAATGGCCAAGCTCCTATCCTCCTCTGCGCATTTCGTCACTTATGGAGCCATGTCAAAGCAGCCGCTTACGATTCCTGCCTCGATGCTCATCTTCAAGGATCTCCACTTCCACGGCTTCTGGGTCAGCAGATGGGCGGAGAAGCATCCGGAGGAAAAGCAGAAGACGGTCGCCGATGTGCTCGAGATGACGAGGAAGAAGGAGTTCAAGGATATCCCAGTGGATGAAATCAAGTGGGAGTGGGAGACAAAGGGGGATGAACTCATTGCAAAGGTCAAAGATACGCTAGAAGGGTACCGGCAAGGCAAGGGCGTGTTTGTGTTTGGGAAAACGTAGATCTTGTGATGGGAGCAAAATCAAGTCTGCCGAACCTCATGTTTCGATTTCTCAAGCTGTTTCTTTGTGCTTGAAGACCCAACAAGTATCGCTTCTTCCCAGTGCAGTGTGTTGGATGGTACAGCCACACTACTACAAGAGACTTACCCTCGTACCGTTCGCTGGCAACTTCGCTCTGAACAGCACAAACGGTCTTGTCCTCCGATCTGTCCCCGGGTAAAACGCGCTACTAAACGCGAGCTGATTATCCGTAAAGTAGAGATAGCCATCATCCGCAACAGCCACTGTGCCCATCCGTCAGCCCTCAATTCAAACCACAAAAACACATGATCACAAAAATCCTTGTCCAAGAAAGCACAACAACGAGTAAACGAAGGGAAAAAAACTTACTGGTATCCACCCAGCTAATCCTCGGATCCCTCACCCAAACACTCACGCTCGCATTCTGCGGATTGTAAAACCCAATCGCATTCTGCTCCATATTCCCCGCATACACAAACCCATTCGTATCCGTCTCAAACCCATCGCTCAGACCCCTCTCACCACGATTAACAACGGCCGCCTGCGCCAACACCTCGCTGTCCGGGCCCCTCTCCCTCAGACGCGCAGTGGGCACACTGTACAACCCCCTGCCACCCACCGGCCCAAAATACAGCTCCTCGCCATCCACAGACAAGGCAATGCCATCACTGCCCAGCGGCACCGTGGTCAGCGGCCTCCCCGGCCCAGGGAGATAATACAGCGGCTGGCCCCACACATACGGCACGAATCCGCGTTCAGCTCGCGTCTCGGCAATCCCATCGAGATGTCTCCAGCTCTCGCCCGTGCCCAGGTCAACAACGATGATGCCATTGCGGCCCTCGGACGAAGAATCCGTAATATACGCGACCCCCTTCCCGGCCGCCGTGCTCGCCGCCCGCAGATCGAAGCGCACGTCGTTGAGGTACGAGTCCGGGAAGGCGACGGTGGGCGGGAAGACGATGGTCTGGATGACCTGGTGCAAAGTAATGTCGACGCCGAGTAGTTTGGGCCCGCCGGGGCTGGCGGGGACAAGGGTTCCGTCGTCTGTGAGTGCGCGGCCGGTGTCGAGGATCCAGAGACGGTCGAGGGGGTCGAGGACGACGCTTTGCACGCCGATGAGGTGGGTTTGATGATTCGCGCCTGTGGGGCGCGTGGTGCTGTAATTAATGGCTCCGCCGGGTGGACTGTTGATGTCAAGATTCGGATACGGGGTTTCTGTGCCGTTGCCGAGTAGTTCTGCGACTTGGTATTTCTGGTTGTGCCCGTTGTTTGTGTTGTTGGCGTCGAGTCCGGCTGGGTAGTTTGAGAATCTACGGCCGGATTTTGCAACAGTGATTCCTGTAATTAGGATTGATTTTTGCTTAGTATGGAAACGCAGGATAAGGGGCTTTCCACATGAGAATGAGAGGGAGGAATTTTATACCGGTGGGCCATTGGTCGTTGTAGAGATGCACAATCTCAAGGGGTGGTCCCGCAAGGCCTGGGTCAGATCGTATCTGTTGTGTGGTCGCGAGAGTAGGAAGCAATGCGTTCAAGATTAGTAGGGAAGAAAACATAATGTGGTAGTATACAGTCAGTTGTCTCTCGTCCCAACATCTCGTTGGCCATTTCGTACATTTATAACTACAACATCAGTCGACCCAACTACTTGGTCTCACCAAGTCTTTACGTCATGGCCATGTCAGGTACAAGGGTGGCGCTATCGTTAGCCGTGTGTTGCTCTAAGGATCTGAAGGTTGACATTACATTGAAGCTATCCAGCTTCTGACTAGTCTGGTTGAGGTTCCGTCGATTGCCCCGCTTGTGGTTGTGCCAGTCTGCCTTGCTTGAGAAATCCACGACCACGGTAATGGTCATGGTGTTGTTCCACCACGCGAAATCGCACCTTGGCGTAGCCTAACCAATGCTCTACGCGCGTTTTGGTTTGCTTCCCGCAAAAAGCTCTTTGGAAAATGTTGCAGTTAACGTTTATAAATGCGGTGGCAGGGGCGTTAGCACAAGGATGAGATCTCGCAAAATTCAATTGAGCGGTGGATTCTATCCTCCATCATCCAACACAAGACCTGAGCAACTCCTTCAGTGCCGTGCTATCGTCACTACCATCCCATGAATGCGACGTCTCAGCATTGCCTTCGCTCCCTGAAGAACAATCAAGATTCGTCACCTTCATCTTCAGACTGCCATCACAGACTTCGATCGATACATCTTTCTTTGATGCCGACGAGCCTTTCTTGCTAACCTGTCCTAGTATAGTCACGTTGGTGTCTTCGTCTTTGATCACCGCCCGGGATGAGTATTCGCCCTTGATGATCCTGTGGACTATGTGTGAAGAGAGAATCCAGTCGAGATATGACGTCAATTCGTCGACAGAAGAGAACTTGATGGTCTGAGATAGGCCGAGTTCTGCTGTCAAGGAAGCAGGTAGTGTGAGCTTGTGTTCCGTGCCAAAAATCGGCTGAGCGAGAACAGTGCGTGTGACCACTGATAGAATCTCAGACGGAGCGCCGCTTGCAGTAGGAAGCACTATTGAAGCCTTCCCATCAAAGGGCTTGTTGAATATCTCGAGCAATTGGTCGCTTGTGGAGAGTCCAACCTTGGGGGTCTTCAGGCTCTCTGCTGCCTTAGCCCACGATACTTCGCGTGTAGTTTCCAATCCCATTTCCAAGCCGGCGCTGTCCAGCGTCCGTTTCAAAGTCTCCAGGTACACGTACAGTGAGTCCACGCTCTCTAGATGGCGGAAAACTGCAAGTAGTGTGCGCAACAATGGTGGAGGCGGTTTCTCCTGGGCTCTTGCTGTGAGAGGAGGTGGTACTTGGGATCTGCGATATAAGCGCATGCTGTGTTCATGCGCGAGGAGCAGACGCAATCCCTCGGCAACGTTCTGCGCCAGCCAATTATGCGACTGACTTTGACTCTCAGCAATAGGCTCGTCCCGAGGTATGCAGTCTATTAGTAACTTGAGTTGCTGCGATGTATTGCCCATCCTTGGCACATCCAGCTGGATAACGGAATCTCGAAACTCTACTCCATAGGCCAGGAGCTGGCGTGTCTCCATACTCATCTCATGATAAAGCTCCTCCTCAAACAAGGAATCTCTCGCTAATTGAATAGACTTTTCGATTGAGTTGTCTTTCATGTCTTGTTGAACTGAGAGCTGTGAGGTTCCTGTAGTTTCACCATCCAGCGTCACCCTTACGCGGAAGGTCTTGGGCTTCAGAGCGAGCGCTGGGTCCAGAATAATGCTCCCGTCTTTGGACATGCGCAGAGGAGCAAAGCCCCGAGCTTTGAAATGGTCGCTGGCTGCCATAAAATTAGTCCATGAATGAGGGGCACGACTTGAGACTGAACACGAACCTTCAGGTAGTCCAAAGCGCACACCGAACGGCACATGGCGGGCGTTTTGGCGCAGTCGTTGGATGGGCCACCCCTTGTCGGAGACGGAGACAATCTCTTGCCAGTACTTTGTCTCTCTGCGCACTTCCTTTTCAAGTTTCTTTGCAGCCTTCAATATCTCATCTGCTGCAGAATCTAGTGCTTCCATCCGTGAGCCCTTGGCAACAAGTAACTGCTTCTTCGCAAGCTCCTCCAACCGCTCCGCCTCTTCGGGTCTCGGCACAAAATACTCGTGGCTTTCTTTACTGATGCCAAAAGACCCAAACGGTATCCCTTGTTCCAGACCTTGCTCTCGAAAAGTATGGCTGAAAGACGAAGCGACGCGCTTATTGGGATCTTGGGAAAGGACGAGCGACAGAAGGTCAAGGGCATTGGTAGCAGCAAATTTGGCCCATCTGCTGCTTGTCAGTCCAGATCGAGCAGTAAGAGGTTCACGTGTATACATACTCCAAGTGGCTGTACATTTCTCTCTGCGCATTGAAGATGGTTTCGCGGGTGACCTTTTGGGTCACAACCTCTTTCTTCTCTTTCTTCTCCTCGTCCTCTTTTTCTTTGAGGGCAACACCATCAGGTATGTCTTTGCCTGCGCCTAATGCTTCCTGCAACGCCGTTTTGGTTATGTCCCGAAGATGGGCCCGTTCCGTTGTGAGCTGCTCGATCTGGGCATATAGCTTTTGTTGGCTCAGGGTTCCTTGCTTGGAGGCTGGCCATGGCCGCAGCTTTACATCCCGCAGCGACTCCATGCTTGACATGGCGTCAGGCTAGTGGTTGCAGCGCAGGCCTGTTGCTCGATGGTTATGAGTGTCGAAAAGCGGTTCGGCCAAGTCGCGATTAGTGTGAGACCCTTGTATACCGGTACCTAGACCGTGGACCTTCCAGGTGAGGCTAACTTCGCTGCGCTGATGCTTATCGATAAGGCGACCGCTGGTCTCCACCTTGCGCTTCCCTTCGTCGCATGTGAAACGGGCTGCGAATTCTGGCCGTTATCACATCGACAGCCGAACACTTCAATACAAGTGATCCGCGAGTAACTGATCACTACCTGCGCCCAGCTCTGCCTTTCTTAGTGTATCACGGTGTCACATGGGCCTTGGAGCTTTCCCTCTTGGGCTAGTCAGCGGCGAACTCCGATACGCTTGATCTGGAGCAAACCACCTGTGCTCACAGCAGCAAGCCAAAACTCGCTTTGGACACATTTCTCTCCCTTACCTCACCGACCAGAAACCTCAGAAATGACGACAAGATACCGCGTTGAATGTATGTGGAGTTTGACCCGTGGACTGCTCAGACGCTGGGCTGCAAGTCGAGCTAGCTGGGAGAGAGCACGCTAACCAGGTCCAGATGCTCTCAAGGTTGGTGGTGAAATTTGATAGTCTTGAAGCAAGTGTTGACTGTATTCAAGACTCACCGTAGGGATCAACTGGTAAGCTCGGCTGTTGCATGATAGTACTGTTGATCGTGAACTGATTTATGTCACAGATCGAGTGGATCAAGGTATGGTCTTCGTGAACCAGTGCAACATCAGCCCCTAACCATCATCAAGGGTCTTCTAGCAGTTCCATTTGTCCTACACTCACACCCAACTGCCGTATTCGAACCTGATGGCGAGTCGGTCGATCACCAGGCCAGTCTCGCCCAACGGCGGTACGCTGAAATTATGCGTGATGTAGAGGAAATCATCAACGATCACAGTGAGTGGTTATGTGCTTTACTCTTACACACGGGAATTGGCAACGGCTATTACTGTTGTTGTACTGACCTTCATGTAGTTGAGCACCAAAGGGCCGGCAAACCCGACCGATCCAAACTCAAGCTTCTCGTTCCATCAGTGGCAAACTTCTTCACCCCTCTAGCCTTGCACGATGCTTTCATCTGGCAGGACCAACGCCGCTTCATTAGCCATCGACGCTTTGTTCCGCCCTCGTTCAATGACATTCGTCTAGTGTTGAACACAGCCCAAGTCATGAGCCTAGTGCGGGGCGGCCCCTTGGATCTTGTGACGTTTGACGGAGATGTCACCCTATACGACGACGGCGAGTGTCTCGTACCCGAAAACCCAGTCATTCCCAAGATTCTGCAGCTCATGCGACGAGGTTCTAAGATCGGGATCGTCACAGCGGCTGGCTATACCGAAGCCAAGCGCTACTATGAGAGGCTCCATGGACTCCTCCACGCTGTACAAGCATCTGACCTGCCGTTGGAATGGAAGCAGAATTTGATGATCATGGGAGGTGAAAGCAACTTTTGCTTCAAGTTTGATGAGAATAGCCCTGATATGCTCAGATTTGTGCCTAGGGAAGAATGGGTGCTGAAAGAGATGCTTTCATGGCACGAAGCGGATATCAAGGAGCTTCTTGATCTCGCAGAGGCCTCGCTTGAGGATACCGTAAAGAATTTCCGACTCGAGGCAGTCGTTGTGCGGAAAGAACGAGCGGTAGGGATCATACCGAAAGAAGGGCACAAGTTTTGCCGCGAGACACTGGAAGAGACGGTCCTGATTGTGCAAAAGATTCTGGCAAGTTTGAAATGAGGTCAGAAAAGGGCAATGACTAAACTGTACCAGGACATTTCCGAAGTTGGACAACGGCTACCCTTTTGCGCCTTCAATGGTATGTCTGCTGTTTCCAAGAGATGGAGTGGAGACTAACATGATGTGTAGGAGGAAACGACGTGTTTGTTGACATTGGTGACAAGTCATGGGGTGTGCTTGCGTGTCAGCGGATCTTTGGTGGGATTGAAGGGGCAAAGACGCTGCATGTGGGTGATCAGTTCCTGAGTGCTGGGGCCAACGACTTCAAGGCGCGGTTGGCGTGTACGACAGCATGGATTGCGAACCCACAGGAGACGTGCCAGCTGTTAGATGAGATTGCCGAATTGGACGAAATGCAACAACGCAAGAAGAGATGAGGGAGGGCGGGAGAGTGGGGGGTAGTGTTTGTAGCCTGATAGTGGTAGGGGGTGGGGTTTTGATTATAATGGAGGAATTGACATGGGCGACTTGAAACAAGCACTGTTGGGAACTGCAGCTAGAAGGGATGATTCATTGAGGGATTGCCATGAGCACCATTCGGTTTTCCTCGTTCTGTAGCACGTATACATGCAGTATGCATGGAGAACGAAGGTATAGAAAGTGGATATGATATGTAGCTAGCAGAAGCTTTGTAGTTTGTAGTTATGAGTAAGGGTTGCGTAGAAGAGGGATGCTCTGGACACTTTGATCCGTATTACAGCCGATGGATTCGTGTCCTGAGAGTGGAAAACCTAGATGGCTGCCTATGCGCTTCTACCGTTGAACCTACTTGCGATCGTCATGTGCCCAGCCTGCTATCTGCTATCTGCCATCTGCCATCTGCTGCATGGCATTGTGTGATCACAATACGCGATAGCCGTTCCCGAAGACCCTGGCTCTTGGCCCGTAGGTACCGGTACCGGCCCCCGCAGCATGGCTTGTTTGTTGTGGGTACCGGTAGGGCTTGGTGGCTGTGGAGCGAGCACATGAAAAGAAGTCGGGCTCTTGCTAACAATCAGGTAACAACAACAACAACGTATACGGTAACTCACATGCAGGGTGGCTAGAGGTTTGTAGTTGGATGGTAGCAAAGATGATGTGCAATCTGACTGGGCATAATAGCCACTTTCGTCTTCTTGCATGTGCACTAGGTAGGTACCATGGCAGACCTGTTTGTCGTAAGCTTGTTTGGGGTTTGGGGGGGCCAAAGGTAGGTAGAAAGGCATTCAGGCGGCCTCGTATGTACGGTGTACTGCGGAGTGTGGACTGTATTCTGTGGACTGTATTCTGTGGACTGTGGACTGTGGACTCTGTGCAGTGTCCATCAGCCGTCAGTCCAAGCCTGTCAGGGAACCCTCGCGTCCAACGCCAGACCCAGAAGACCTCCTGAGCTCATCCTCGCCTGCCTGCGCTCGCTCCCACGCCAACGCGCAACCCGCCCACACCCTCCCCCTCCCTCCCTTCCCTTCCCTCCCTCGATTGATTGCGCTGAAGGGCCAATTTACCCCAAATCCAGGCCCCAGAGCATTCCACTCTCCACGTGCCCGCCCACCGCTCTCCACTGACTGCTGCTGCCCCGTCCTCCCATTCACCATGGCGCCTGGCAAATTCTCATACAAGCCACTGACCCTGACCCCCATCAACTTCTCCCTGACAGAGGGCACCCAAATCCCAGCGCCGCTCGACAGCCCACCCGAAACACCGCGTCCCCCAACGCCTGGCAAAGGCCCACTGTCGTCGCACCCGACGCCCAAATCACCCGCCTTCCCACCCACCGACGACTCGCCGCTGGGCAAGGACTCTGAGGACTCGACGGCCGACACACACTTGCATCAGAGCCGCACGAGCGATGCAGCCAGCGTCCTGTCACCCGCAAGCCCCTCGAACAAGCGACCGGCCTCGGTGCGCAAGTTTTTGGGCTTGCGCACATTGTCCTCCTCGGACAGCCTAAAGTCAGATCGGCCTGGGTCGCCGGCGACCATCAACAGCCAGACACCCAGCCTGTCGCGGAGAAAGAGCGGCAGCTGGTTTGGCAAGAAGAAGAGCTTTGCCGCAGGATCTGTGCCGGAGGGCAATGGCACGTCGGCGCCCTACTCCAACGGACGCACCGTCTCGCAACCTGTAGCTGTACCTGCATCGGCACCTGCACAGCCACCGGCCCAACCAAGGGGCCCGCCACCCCCAGCGCTACCCGAGCTCAAGTCGCTCGGTGTCAGCGAGGACACCTTCAGTCTGGGCGCAGACGACATGTTCAAGAACATTGGTGCCGACGACAAGTCGAACAAGAAGTAATCACATAATAGAGGGAGGCTATGTTGGGCGACGGTGGCATGTTTATGATGCATTTCTAACGTATCTTGAGTTTAATGGCCTTGTCCAACCTTCGCTTCTGGACCACGTGTTGGAGTTGGAACACTGCGGCATCTTCATTTTGGCTTGCATATGCACACGATACCCCCGGTCGAGACAGAATGGAGGAGGAGGATGGCGGTGGTGGAGAGTAGTAACTTTGGAGTGTGGAATGTGTGTGCGTGTGTGTGGGAATGGCTGGTGACGAGGCACAGCACTTGTGTAGCCGCCATTCGGGTTTTTATTCTTCCCCAAAACATATCTGCAGGCATGTCCTGCATGTATATATCAATGGCCGCAAGTTGTTTTGGCCTTCACTACATCAAATAGCCGTTTCATTTGTCAGACGAAGAAAAGAAGAGAAGCGCTTCTGTTTCCCATTCCTTGTTCCAACATTGTCTGACCGGCTTATGATGTAGGTATACATGCTGCATGTCCTCATATATCTATCATGTACCATAGCTAGTAGACTGGGCCATACATAGGGGCGGGCATGCTGCGCTTCAGAGCGGGCAGAGCGAAAGCACGAGCGCGGTAGGACGTGTTTGTTGCTACGGGCGCTACCGGTACGTTAGCGTCACACTACCTACACGACGCCTGGTCACAACAACAAACACGGATGCGGGCGCATCAACACCAACACCAACACCAACACCACAAACCACCCCTCCTCCCCCGCCCCTCAGCCCTACCCAACATTTGCATAGCCGCCACATAGACATAATACTATTGTACACAACTTCGAGACAGACATCACCGACAGTATTACTGCGACCCCCCTTTCTCTGCCATGGCCCAGGACTCGGGCATGTTTTCTGTGCGCCGACCGCGAGAGGTGAGTACCTAGTGTGCGCCGTATTGATCCCCTCGCAACCCACTTGCGCCCACGATTTCAGGCTCTCTCTCTCTCTCTCTCTCCCAATGGTCACTGACAAAAACAATCTATGATACAGACTCTCGGCCCTGTCACCAACAACTCATCGGCCATTCCCATGCCATCGTCGGCTATGAAGCGATCGAGCTCCATCAACATGCAGTCCTCACAGCCCCAGTTTCCCCCCAACCATGCCCGTTCCCAGAGTGGATCTAGAATGTCCCTGGCGCCCGGTCGCCCTAGCCAGCCCCTCTTCCAGCGCTCTTCTTCTGGTACAAACCTCGCGGAAGGCTTTCAGTCCGTCCACCGCAATTCTACCAGCAATGCCTTCGGCGCAGGTAGCGGCAGGAAGAGCTTCGCGCCCAGTTCTTCCATTTTCCAGACCCCGGCGCCTCTTTCCTCAACACCCAACTTCGAACAGAGCGCGCAGCGACGAAGCAGCGTCTTTAAATCGCGCACATCGCATGGCCCTGGCCAGTCGGGCGTGAAGCAGTCGTTCTTCCAGACAGCACCTATGCCCTCGGCACCACCTACGGATCCGCGGCGACTCAAGGATGCCAGTACACGTGCGCAGATGGCTCATGAGCTACTAGAGTACCTGACACAAAACAACTTCGAAATGGAGTCGAAGCACGTCCTGTCGAACAAAGCCATGACTTCGCCTACCCAAAAGGACTTCAATTGCATGTTTCAGTGGCTATACAACCGCATCGATCCCAGCTATCGCTTCCAAAAGTCAATCGATCAAGAAGTTCCTGTTCTACTGAAGCAAATGCGATATCCCTTTGAAAAATCCATCATGAAGTCACAGATTGCAGCCGTAGGTGGCAATAACTGGGCCACATTTCTGGGTTTGTTACACTGGATGATGCAGCTTGCGCGTCTCATGCAAGCATACGAGTCTGGAACCTACGACGACGCTTGCTTTGAGGCTGGTTACGACGTTTCTGGCGATCGCATCATCTTCGAATTCTTGTCAGACGCATATAGCACTTGGCTATCAGCCGATGACGATGACGACGATGAAGAGGCACAGAAAAGACACATGAAGCCTCACATCGATGCCATGGCGAAGAAGTTTGAGATGGCGAATGCACAGCACCACGAGCAAGTGGAGCTACTAGAAGCCGAGCACAAGTACCTTCAAGATCAGATTGAGGAACTTTCCAAATCGGGGCCGAGGATCCAGAAACTCGAAGAGCAAATCAGGATCCTCGAAGAGGACCGTGTCAAGTTTGAGAACTACAACAACTCCATGGATGCCAAGGTCAGAAAATACAACGATCGCTGTCAATTCCTGGAGAAATCTGTCGAAGAGATTGAAGCTGAGCTAGAAGCTGCAGAGAAGGAGCAACAAGAACTCCAAGCCATCATCGATGGACGCGGCATGACCATTGCGGATATCGACCGCATGGCCAATGAAAAGGAACGCCTTGACGCAGCCCTCCAGGCAACGTCAACGCGCCTTGAGGAGTCGAAAAAACGGGTTGCAGAAAAAGAACTAGCGGCCTCGCGCAAGTTGGATGAACTCGAGCAGACCATTGAGCGATACAACAATTTGGGCTACCAAATTGGCGTTATCCCCTCTACCGCCGTCAACGCCAAGGGCCAAGATTACGAACTTGTCCTAACTGTCACCGATGGCCCCAACTTTTCAGGCTCACAGATGGCTGGCTCATCACAGGATGCATCAGACCGTCTTCTCCATGACGCAGGTACAGGATACTCACCTGCTCACCTCCTCAACCTCGACCTCCGTGGCAGTGTCAAATCCAACATCATCGCTCTTCGGAAAGAAATACAAGAGCGCCGTAATCAAGCACTCGAGGCTGACATGAACAACCACGATCTACTGGACAAGATTAAAGAGGCAATGGACGACAAGCAAGCCGAAGTCGAAGCACTCGGTCATCGTGTCCAACAAGCCGAAGAGGAGCTAGAGAAATTGCGCGAAATCACAAATACCCAGAAAAGCCAGTCAGATGCGCAAATCGAGCGCATGGAGAAGGAACTCTCGCGCATGCGAAGCGGACTTGGCGAGAGTGTGCAGCTGATGGTGCAACGTGAGATGGCTGTCAACATTGAGTAAGTATCTGGAAAAAAACTTGGTACAAAAAACATTGGCTAACACAACAACCCCCAGGTACGAACAACTTCAGCTCCGTGCCAATGCTCTGCGCGAAGAACTTCACACGGAAATTGAGCGCATGCTCGACGACATTGTGCGGTTCAAACTGCATGTCCAGCGCTCGCTGGAGGAGTATGAGCAGTTTATTGCGGATGAGGTGGAGAGGAGTTGTGAGGAGCAGGACCTTCTTGCTGCTGAAGAAGGTGAGGGAATGGAGGAGTGAGTAGTACATAGTTCGAGATGAGATGACGTTTGTTCAATGAGGTTATGACGATGGTTTGGAGTATGGAGTCGGAATGATACAGTGAGGATACTTTGGGGGCTTTTGTATATCGACCTAGCCTGTTTTTTCGCCCCGTCTACAACGTTTGGAAATTGGGTTGGGCTTGGTTGGGGCTTTGCGAGATACCTCTTTGAGTTTTTCTTATCACTGGGGATGTTTGGTGTTGTTACAATATGATTGACTTTAGCAGGAGAGCGTGTGAGAAAGCTTGGTGCCAACTACTCTACCTCTCTCCACATGCCTCGGCCTAAACAGAAGAATGTTCTTCTATCCTTCCTAGAACCCTCGCTTGATCTGAAGGTATACCTGTTCGGTCCGAGAGTCTGCTGGTTGACAATCCCCTCTAGATCCAGTCGAACTGCCTATCTACGCATAGGGCCCCCCCCCCCCCCCCCATTTTCGTATAGTACCCCTCTACCACGAGGTCGTGATTCGAAGATTACTTCATCCACATGACAACTAGCTTGCTCATATGTCGATGAACCATTGTGGCCGATTGGACTATTTCTCTAGCGTAGCATGGGATCCGCATGGACATCATATGAAGATTTTAACCCTCCCTAGAATAAGAGACCCTGCCAGCATCTGGAAAATCAATATCATACACGTGGTCCTGCCCAATACGCGCGAAGCAACACAATCGTTACTTTTCCCAGATTCTCGCGGATGTAACCATGCATACTCTTCCGTCAACTGCCGAGCAGGCTTCTTATATTAAGCACTTCAGTAAAACTACGTCAGTCCTCATCTGTTGGTCAGAAGCCATCAGGCCATCAAAGGTGGCAATGGTAATCTCAACATGAACTAAGATGATTGGTAGATGTTCATATGTCGATATGCTCGACGCAATCTATGCTTCGGGATTTTTTTGAGCATACACATTCATCTTCGCACTTAAAGAGGCAAGAATGTCTTGCTGGAACATTCTTGTGTCATTTTTTGCAAGCTCCAGACGGGATACCTCCATCATGCTTTCCAACCTATTCATCGCTGGTGCGCTATGGAGCCAGTCCACTATTGCACAAAACATGCTACGCTTCGGATGCTCCCAACTCACCGTTGAACGAGCCGACCCCCTCGTTAACCCAGGACAAGCCCCTTCCCCTCACACCCATCAGATCATCGGCGGAAACTCCTTCAACCTGACCGTAAATCATCTCTTATTCCCCTATCCCACATATGCCCCCCAACACAAAAGCAAACCAACTAACACACACTCGCCCTACCTCCCCAGATGACCCCCGCCGAATTCGACCCCCCTTCCCTCTCCACCTGCACAACCTGCACCTACGCCGAAGACTTTAGCAACTACTGGACCGCAAGCCTCTACTTCAAATCCCCCGAAAACGGCACCTACCAACGGGTCCCCCAATTCGCCAACATCGGCCTCCAACAAGACGGCGGCATGACGGTCTACTACATGCCCTACAGCGCCAAAAACAACAAAGTCACCGCCTTCAAACCCGGCTTCCGCATGATTGCCGGCGACCCAACCGCCAAAAAGAGTAACCGCGTCTCCATCTGTCACCGCTGCCAAAACCCCAACTCCGGCTTCGGCGCCCCTTGCGACGCAGGCGATACCGCCGAGCTGCCGACCAAGTACTGTGCGGATGGGATCCGGGCGACGATCATCTTCCCGTCGTGCTGGGATGGTAAGAATCTGGATAGTCCGGATCACCGGAGCCATGTTGCGTATTCGAATGCTGGCGGGTTGGGGACGCCGAATTGTCCGAGTTCGCACCCGGTGGCGATTCCGCAGGTCATGTATGAGATTATGTGGGACGTGGGGCGGTATAAGAATGCAGCGTGGTATGCTGGGGGGAAACAGCCGTTTGTTTATAGTTTTGGGGATGGGTATGTCTTTTTTTTTTTTTCTTTTTTCTTTCTCCTTTGCTCTCTTACACTTGACTCCCTCTATCTATTGTCTCTCTCCCTCTCACGCAATACCACACACTCCATCTAACCCCCCCACTAGCAAAGGCTACGGCCAACACGGCGACTACCTCATCGGCTGGAAATCCGACTCGCAAAACCATACTTAGGCGCGTCACGACCCCT